GAAAAGTTGTATGAATACAATTGGAACACCTTTTGTATGCCCTAGAGTCTTTTCCTCGTTAATAACAAATCCTTGAATAGAAACATTGATTGTATTCAACTTTATTAATTTAACTAAATATTTTCTCAATTACTACAACTAGTTTCAGAAATCTATTCTGAGAAACACGATTTTATACCTTTTAACTTTTGGTGTGTTACAATGAGCATTTCAAACAATCGAATCAAATTCACATAAAATTGATAATTTTGTGGCGGATGGGAAACCTTATGAAAGACCGGCAACGCACTTGCTTCCTGGTATTAAAGGTCTCGAAGGCAGTGAGCCGGAACTTTATGCGACTCGCCTGCTCGTTGGCTTTCCAAATTGCCCACCTGGGAGAGGGCCTATAAGAAAACAGAAAAATGATAATACTTTTTCATAACAATGATCAAACGACAAAACTTCAACATACCATTAGGAGTCAAGATGAAAATTGTGAATGATAAGCCATTTTCTGCCTAGAAAAATTATATTAGCAAAGGCGTGAAAATACATTTTAGCTCTGGCAAATGTCTGTGTAAAAGGGTAATAAATCATACTGATTTATGCTTTCTTTGCCGATGTAATTAATACTCAAATATTTCATAAAACGAACAAATATTTCCATAAAGTAACTAAAGACCTTAAACATAGATCGAATTGTAAACTGCAAAAATTCTTTCACTGCTTCCATAAATCAGTCGTTAAGAAATCAAGCATTAAATGAGATGTACAGTTCTTAAGATATATACTTACTAGCTGACCCGGCAAACGTTGTTTTGCCATGTATATTATTTCAAGGAAACATTATTAGTTCAATAAAAATAACTATCTACTATAATAAAAAATATGGGCTAATCGTATAGGTATGAAAATTAAGAGTTGTATGTATTTTTTAATGCCACATAATAAAAAAAATATCCAAAAAATATATTTTTGGGGTGGACACCCCTTATTACTTAGGGCTTTGAAAGATAGATAGTAGCCAATTCTCAGACTTAATGAATATGCATAAAAAAATCATAAGAACGGGTCAAGCCGTTTCGGAGGAGCATGGGAACGAACATTGTGACACCAGATAAAAACATTGTTACATCTCATTGTTTTTAGTATGGAATTATTGTTGATAAAGTATCAAAATATCTCAAAACAGTAAACAGAACATACATTTTATCTCAAGCTGTGTAAAACAATAACTTTCACAACAAACGGTCTCGGTTATTCACTAAAATATGTTTTCCGTGGTCAAGCGTGTATAAACCACAGTATATTATGTTCTTAAAGTTACAGCGCCGTTTAAAATCGGGCTTAAACAAAATACCAATAATATAAAAATAAGTTACCTTATATTATATTTCCAGTAAATAATATATACAGAAAATCTTATAGTATGAGATAATGAATTAAGAGTGAAAAGCTTAAGTACTTGTAAGCACTGTGACATGTGATATTAGATAGTTCTTTAAAGACTAAATAAACTTTAAACTATGCAAAAAAATATTCGTAATTTACGTTAGATTAAAACTATTTAAGCCTATTTATGCTCGAATTTCAGTGCGGAATAGTCGATCGACGAAACGATGAGAGATAAAATAAACAGACTCATATGTAATGCCTCCATTTTCCTACCTAACATTCATTATAGTGATATAGTGGATATGCAATATGCAAAGTGTCCTGTCAGATTGTTACGCCAAGTAATGCGTCGCTATGTTGTAGATGATCGATTGTCTCAAGTTGCGGTTACACGAAGGAAAACACATAATAATTATAGCTTTATGTCGTGAATACTACAGAACACTAAATGAGTGAAATGTAATTCTGAAAAGTAAATGTTTAATATAAAACTAAATTGACAAACATTTAATAAAAAATAAAAAACACGAGATGTCTTTATTCTACGGTTATTGTTTTGTGCACAATGTTAGTAATACCCGTTTATCTAATTTTCCTATCCTGTAATAGAGGCAACAACCATAATGATAGATTTAAAAACAAATAAAGAGTGGTAATATTTCACCAACGTCATAATATTTCCACGAAAAGAGTGTTAATACATTATTACGTTCTATACATTCGTCAAAATGAGCTGTAGTACAGATACCGGCAAACTTCTTGAGCATTAAACAAGGGAGTGGGGGAAAGTTTGCGCATCGTACAAATACGAGCAAATAAACGTCAACTGATTTACCAATTACGCCATCGACACGTCACTCTCTCGATGCCGCGCACCACCGCCCGCCGTCCCTCATATCCTCTCAGTGATACCTAAAATCGCAGGCAAGGACATTTGTTCAAGATGTTTGCCGGTATCTGTAGTTTACGGTTACTGTGTCAATTTATATCAATTTAGTTTAAACAGTGAAACAATCGAAGAACGCTTTTACTCTTCAGTCTAATAAGATAAACACATTTTGTTATTTTTTAACTGTAATAATAGCATAACCATCTCTTATATTTGTTGTTACAAAATGATTTTGATTTACGTAGGTACGTACTTTGTACGGATTTAGAAAAGGTTTTCTTTTAAAAAATGTCTATGAAATGAAAGTTTTAATTTTTACGTAGTATAGTAATTAGCACACTACATAAAAACACCAGTGGCGCTACAGCCCATAGTCTCGTTCTCAGTTGTTCTTCTACGAGAATGTGGTAAATGCACACATGGAAAGAAAAGCCGGGGAATGTGTGCAGCCGGGGTTTGAACACATGCCTGAGTATGACAGTTGCATGCTTAAGTCCGTTAAGGTACTTGCGCTTTACCCATCATATTTCTTTTTGTAGTTTCATTTCTAACTAGGGTTGCCTGGAAGAGATCGCTTGTTAGCGATAAGGCCGCCCGTTGCATCCCTTAAAATTTTTATGCTATTTGTTTTTCTTTAAATGTAAAGAAGTGAAAATAAATAACGTAAGTAATACAAATAGGCTGCAAGGGCGAACATTCAAAACATTGAAAGTAAAAAGCTTGCTGAGTACTTAAACAAGATTACTTCAAAGCTTTTGTAGGTAATTTTAATATTGATGTAAAATATATACGTTGACATTGGTTTTAATAAAAAAATCTACTACTTACTAAGATTATTATAGAATTTCATTAATTGTAATAGAATTATTACTACCATTGAAAAACGTGACGATTTGCTACAAAATTTCTCCCATATGTCGATAAAGAAGTTTCATTCCAACGCCGATAAAGAAGTTTGACATCAAAAAGCAACATGGCGCGTAACCGAAAAATGTGACGCGTAACGAAAAAATGTTACACTAAATTTTTTTCCAACCCCGATAAAGAAGTTTCACTTCAAAAAAACCGTAACTGTTCTCCAGTTTTAATATAGAACAGGAGGCTCTTCTGATCTTAAGTTGCATGGACACTCACTGCCAGAATGCTCATGCGTAACCAGCCTCTGTTTTGAACGAAGTCAAATTAGTTCGATAATACTTCAATGGGCAGCAGCTGCTTCTACATAGTGATGGTGCGCAAAACGAAAACGATTATAATCTTTATAATGAACGAAACACTCAATGTTTTTGTTCAAGAAGATACAGCCTTCCAGCTAGCCAGCTAAACAGAATCTCCTTAATGTTTTGCGTACTATAAGTGTAACTTTTATAAGCTGATTTATTTGATTGATATGAAAGTATATCTTTATTATGGTAATCTATAGAGGCTTACCCAAAATAAAACTAGTTCTCGAATAAATAAATTAGAAATAATCCGTACAGATGGCAGCCCTACGTGGGCTCTTCGAGGTAATCCATTGACAAGTTTGCCAAGAATAAATTTAATGGGAAATAACATTCTGCCAGCTACACGCATTAATTTTATATTCGATCTTCTACGCATAATCGTTCTGTGTACAAATATTGTAAATGATTAATATATAGAGAGAAAATATAGATAAACAAAATAATAATATAGAGAGAAAAATACACTGAAATTATAATATTTTTAATGTTACATCCTTCAGGCTAATAAATTAAAAATGATATACAAATTCAATGTAAAATTTTGATTTATAAAATAGCTTATATTAAAATGAATAATAGAATAAATATTACAATTAAAACTTATACTAGATAAATGCAACCTACTTATAATTAAACCCTATTTTCATAAGTTAGCTAATACCTATACATAAACAAAATTAAATTAGGTGAAGGCAGTCGGAAGTATTTTAAATACTTATAAAATACTAGCTGACCGGGCAAACGTCGTTTTGCCATGTATATCATTTATAATAAAAAAATAGGGGTTGAACGTAGAGGGGTGAAAATTAGGATTTGTATGTATTTTGTAATGCTGTATCATAAAAAAATAAAAAAATCAAATTTATCTAAAAATTAAAAAAATAATAACTTAGGGGTTGACTACCCTTAACATTTAGGGGGATGAAAATTAGATGTTGTCCGATTCTCAGACATACCCAATATGCACACAAAATTTCATGAGAATCGGTCAAGCCGTTTCGGAGGAACTAACTAACTTAACTACAAACATCGCGACACGAGAATTTCATATATTAGATATTTAAAAGAACTTATAAAGTTAAATTCTAGGAAATGAAAACTCTCAATATTCATTGAAAGATAAATATGATAAGGAGAGTTTTAAATATAAAATAAATGAATTTCTTCAATTATACACCAAAGAACAGTTACTTTTTAAATGCATTAGAGCTGGTTTTCAGAAGCCGTGAAATAATCATATCTGAATATATTAAAAATAATAAAACTTATTGCTGTAACCAATTGTTATAAACAAACTTTTCTAAGGTTAGTAAAATCTTCCTTAAGTAAAAATACTATGATGGTTGGTGATTGCCGAATGTTTTTTCGTATACAAATAAGCAAGTCACCAAAGATAAGTTGTTTTCGCCTTTGGGCCATGTTTATTGTTTCCGGTTCTCGAAAGAGTTTTTCTAAGAGCTAGCAGAAAGAAAAAAATAGAACAATAAAATTATTAAAATAATTGTTTTCTATTGTGTGTTCCCAGGAGCAGTGTAATACGCTGGAGCTGGGGTGGGCCTATGCTTTGAGATTGTATACGCTCTATTTGAAGGCCAGTCCTTGCCGTACCCTCCACCAGCGGAATAGGCATAGCTGTTAGAGTAGTCCGAGTTGTAATCTTGCGAGTCACTGCCGAAATAGGAGTAATGGGTCATTGGATGATGTTGCTGAAAGAGACGGTACAAGATTATTTACAAAATGTTATTATGATGTATATAATCTAAGATACTTCTGTGTACTCGGTAGTTGATAAAATATGAATGCCCCTAATTAGTCAACAATGTTGTATATTACGATTTAGAGAGTGTTATATTTCTTTTTATAGAAACCAGTGGCATAAGACATCTAGAGTTCCTATAAACTTCACCTTGCGATCAGTAAAGTTATGTACACCTCTACTATAAATCTCTTAACAAACTTAATTAATTCCAAGTTCTCGCTTTGTGGAAAACAGGTTTCAACTTATATACGGGTGTGCATTATCTGTTTTGAAATTAATTTAAATACTATTCGTTTGTAAAAGGAAATATAGCATCGCATGAATACTATCTAAGGTCTGTACCGTCAAATAACTGTTTGGTATTTGAATAATCAGAAATTATTGAAGCGTTATTTAATAGTACAAATCGTTGTAGTTACTCAGTAAAAATGTAGAATTTATTTTCCTATTCCTATTCCACGAGAATGTAAGTGCGTGCTCCTATTTCACCATGCCTCCTGCTGATAGAGGACAAATCTTTTTTTTAATTCATTTTATTATTATTTATTACTTATGATGTCATGTGGAACATGGTGTAATGGTTGCAGCTCCTTACAAGCGTTGTGTAAAACAAAAAAAATGCGGCGGAGAGTTTATTGCCAGTTCTTCTCTTCCGTTTTACGCCCTTCATTTGAGAACTGGCAGTCAATGTAAAATTGGAAGCATTTCATGTATATTTTTTTGACGTTCATAAGTGTACATTGTGTTACCTATATGAATAAATTATTTTTAACTTTGACTTGACTTATTCGGCTTCAAAGAGTATTGTGTACTAATAGTCCGGTCAATTTAGACATCCAAGGTTACAATAATTCGCACTTGGCTGAATATTGGTAGGATTGCTCAATACACTATTATAAAGGAAATGTGAAAAGTCCTCATCGATCCGGCACGTGCAAAAAAATTTACTCCAGTTCAAAGATCACAAAAATGGGTTTTTCGCGATTTTCAGCAAAATGGTAAGTTTTATCATAAAATTAGTATAGACAAAAATTGTAGATCAGATAATTATCTATAAAAAATGTCACAAATTTTTTTTTCCTAAAAGCCACCGTTTTTGAGATACAACGATTCAAAAAGTTGAAAGAGTTGTAATCGTCATAGTATGCACACGTTTCCACGCCACCTTTGAGGTAGTGTACTTAGCGCTTTTTTTTAATGTGGTTTCCCCGCGGTATTGACAAGGGTTGAAAATGATGAAAGGGGTGTAAATTACAAAAAATAAGAAAATTTATCCGTCTGAATCTAAATCATCATTAACTTCTGCTTTATCTTGTTCTTGTTCTTCTTCTCTTCCTTCTCCTTCTTCTCCTTCTTCTTCTTCTTCTTTATCTTCTTCATTCTGAGTGTTAATAAATTGTCCCAATAATGACACATCGCATGTCTCTTCGTCAACATCAAATGAATCTCCAATTGTTGGCAATTCAACATTGGAGCATGACCGGCCTTGACAGTTAGTACATGCTACAGAACAAAACAGTCCAACTTTTTTGCAACCACATTTAGTACTACATCCCTTTTTACAGTTGCAAAAAATGGTGTTTAGTAGTTTTTCTGGTGCAGGTGGCTCTAATGAATTGTCGACCAACTTCCAACCCCAGTCTTTTGGTCTGAAGGTTACACTGGCGTAGAAAATAAAGGACTGGGTTTTTTTACCCGAAATTTTCATATTTTATATGTGTAAGTCACACTGACCGATAGAACGATATTTTTGCTTGTATTACGGCTTCAGTGATCTTAGTATATACGTGGTGTACTTATACATATTATGACGATTACAACTCTTTCAACTTTTTGAATCGTGATATCTCAAAAACGGTGGCTCTTAGGAAAAAAAATTGTGACATTTTTTATAGATAATTATCTGATCTACAATTTTTGTCTACACTAATTTTATGATAAAACTTACCATTTTGCTGAAAATCGCGAAAAACATTTTTGTGATCTTTGACCCGGAGTAAATTTTTTTGCACGTGCCGGATCGATGAGGACTTTTCACATTTCCTTTATAATAGTGTATTGAGCAATCCTACCAATATTCAGCCAAGTGCGAATTACTGTAACCTTACCCCTATTTTTTAGTCTAATTTGACCGGATTATAAACATTGATTCGGTTTCTTTTGTCTTCTTTCGTTGATTTATATTTGTAATAATATATTATTGTATCTCTCATTACTATTAATAAATGTAATACTTGAGATATACTCGTAGCAATAGGAAAATCAATAAGCATGCTCTACTTATCTAAAGCCTGGTTGAGGAGGCTTTCATCGATATCATTCACTTGATAAGCTTTTGTTTTTATATTGACTTGAAAGCTTTAAGTATATCCGGATAATGAAAATGGCTATGCATTTTTTAAGTATCATGTTGTAAAGACACAAGATTTTTTTATATTTCTAATAGGAGGTCATATGTGATTTATTAATTATAAGAATTATATTCCTGACATATAGAGCATTGTTGGCCTAGTGGCTTCAGCGTGCGACTCTCATCATTGAGGTCGTGACATCGTGAGGAAACCGACATGTCTTAGACCCAAGAAGTCGACGGCGTGTGTCAGACACAGGAGGCTGATCACGTACTCGCCTATTAAATAAAAAAATATCACGAAACAGATTCCGAAATCTAAAGCCCAGACCTAAAAAGATTGTAGCGCCATTGATTATATTATATGCTTGAAATTGTCTTTTTTTTTTGTTAAAGGACTTCATAAGTGACGAATACTTTTGTAGTATTTTGTGTTACCGTTTTATAATTTAAAACAAAACCTTGTGTTTTTAGAATGCGAATTATACAAATATGTATGAATTAATAATTACAATCTAAATTTAAATAATCCGTAGGAGGTATTATTTCTAGTACGATTTCAAAAGTTTAAAATTAAATGTTTAAAAAAGGAATTCATATTGTGCCTTCTTTGTTCCATTTTAGGATTTTAACGGATTTAATTGACATATTCGTTATTTGAATTTTTGAAATTGGACGGTGTTCATACCGTAAAGTTTCGAAAACAATGTGCCCTTTCAAAACGATTTTTATAAAAGTATCAGCCGATAACAGAAATTTCATCAACGCATATATGAATATGTTTAAACACAAAAATATTTGTTAATTATTCTAGAAGTCTTTTGTTCGCGAACGAATGTAATATTACAAATATAATAAAAAAACAGTAGCGCGCGCTACTCGGTCTTTAGATTTGTGTAAATTGTTCGTGATCATTTGTTTTCACTAATTAGCAAGTAGGTGATAAGTACCTTACACACGCTGTCAACTTTTTGCGCCTAAGACATGTTGGTTTCCGCACAATACTTTCCTTCACCGTACGAGCGAGTGTTAAATAGGCGCATAGACAAAGTCCATTGGTGCACATCCGAGATTCAAAACTACAACCTTAGGGATGAGAGTCACACGCTGAAGCCACTAGGCTAATACTGCTCTCGTCAGTAGTATATACGATGGTAAAACCCATCTTCACTAATAATGCCCGCTTTATTACCTAGTGTGATTAAATATATTTGACGATAGCTAAGCACTGCATTTCTTTATTTAGGTAAATTCATTATATATTTAAAATATGCTTAAAAGCGCAAGATTATCTAGTATAATGTGGACTTCTTTATATAATGTCACACAATTATAGTAGGAATATGTAGAAATAAGAACACCATTAGCAAGTCGGCTCCGTGATTCACTTAATAATAATCCCGCATTTCTAATTTAATCTCATTAGGAATAGACGTAACTATTGTAATAGATCTTCAATTTTCAATTAATTATATTATTATACAGATCCTCTAATGATGTTTCAATACGCAGCTGGTAATTATTTAATGAACCATAACTATAATGTACATACTTAATCTGCGGGGGGGGGGGGGGGGGGGATACCAAATAGAACTTATTTATCATAAAGTAGTTCCATTTGCTTTTATATATTATGTATTTGAATTATTATAACTACATGTAGAAATACTAAAAATCAAATAAATAAATAAATGAAAACCACTATAGTTTTTAGTAATGAATTTGCTGTCTTATGAGGCTACAAATTTAAATTATATTTTTGGTTATTAGGTTCGTTATCGATAAACTGATTAATAACTGACTCGGTTCTATAACCTAGTTTTTAGTATACATTTTTTACATCTAGATGATGCCATTACACGAAATACAGTAGAGTAAAAGACAGATCTATATGGGCCCAATCTAGAAATGTTTTGTGGGCCAAGGCTTAAACATAACAAATATGACAAGACTACCTTGCAAGCCTTCAACGTGCTGAGTAAACTCGGCAATAACAACGCAGCAACCAACAGCAATTTCTTAATCAGCATAACTCCGAGAAGAATTGGAATCAACAGCATCTTTGTCTTCAACGTTGCCATCAGATTGAGAAATGGTATCATTATCGCCAGCTTCTTCTTTTTACCGCGTCCTGAAAATTATTGAGATGTACTTGTAGTAATAATAAATTAAATACATAGCCACAAAAGGCACTACTGAAATTTATTAAACAAACAGCGAGTGAAAATTTTTTTAAATCTTAAATCACTTAAAGGAAAACTACTTGCTAGTAAAATACTATTTACACGATCGTAATACTTGCTAAGATGCGGCATTCCTTATAAGAACGAGAAAGGCTATGTCAAAGTTCAGAAAAAATAGTTTAGTTTTCAGTTGTTAGCTGAAGTTCTTCGCTGTATCTTTCGTTTCTTGATCATGCCTTTATTTACCTTATTAATAAAAACTAAACAAGCCTTATAACCGTATAATTAAAGCACCATTTATCTCTTTTTATCATGAAGTAAACACAATTTGTGAGAGAGACGCACTTAAAACAATAATAAGACTAATTTTCTCTGAATATGAGGATTAGCTTTATGTGATAAAAAAAGAAAGAAAGATGATGAAAGTGAGAAAGGTATTTTGTAACCGAAAAAAAAATACAACGTGATATTTGTGTATAGTTCAATGCTACAAAAAATGAGTTTCAAAACGAATTAAACAACGTTAACTGAAATTAATTCATTATTTTATCTTACAATAGGTGAAACCTACTCAGTTTTGGGAACCAACAAAAGATAGGCTCAACCCAGATTTTCAGAGATCCCATTAATCAAAGTTAATTAAGCTTCAGGGATGTAATTATCCCAGCAGAAAATATTTTACGTCTCTTTCAAGTACGTTTTCATTTATTTGATTAAATACGTAATGCCCACAATATGAGGAATTTCAAAAATATCTTATTCATTATTAATCAATACGATAATACAAGCTAGCATATAAAGCTTTATTAAAAAAATACATAGTATTATGTAAATATAAAAACTTATAAGTAATTAGATTAGTTTTTTTGTTTGTTTTAAGCCTATACCTATCGAACCATATGAGTATTGTAGCATCAAGGACGCTTCGATGGCCGTTGATACGCAATTTAACCTAAGTACATATTACGTTAATTATATCAATTAGACGAAAAAGGCACACAATTGTCGGTTTTAGGAAGCAGCTCAGGAATAATTAATTACACTGATAGTAATATATGTAGGTATATACCACAAATCACTCACAAAATATTGTTCAGGTAATTAATAAATAAAATTGGGAAATATCGAAACAAAAAGGGGGGGGGGGGGGGGGGGGGGGGGGGGGGGGGGGGGGGGGGGGGGGGGGGGGGGGGGGGGGGGGGGGGGGGGGGGGGGGGGGGGGGGGGGGGGGGGGGGGGGGGGGGGGGGGGGGGGGAAGGGGGGGGGGGGGGGGGGTTTTTGGGGGGCCCCCCACTGATTTAAAAAAAAAAAAAAAATAGGGGGGGGGGGGGGGGGGGGGCGGGGGGGGGGGGGGCGCCGGGAAAAAAAAAAAAAAAAAAGTTTGTTTAAAAAATAATAGGGGGGGGGGGGGGGGGAAAAAAAAAAAAATTTTTTTTTGGGGGGGGGGGGGGGAGGGGGGCGCCCCCCGGCGGGGGGGGGGCGCCCCTTTGGGGGGGGGCCGCCCCAAACCCTTGAGGGCATTTGATTCACTCGCACGCCGCGCAGACCCCCGCGCAGGGAAGCCGCGGCGCAGTACGTCTAACCAAGCGTTCTTACAAGAATGGAGGTAAAATCAAACGTGGCCATCGGGTGTGTCAAAAATGTTGCATTGCCCTCAAAAAAATTATTATAACAGTATCTATTACGAACAGTATAAAGTGTAACCATTGTAATAATTTATTCTCAGTAAAATATAAAATAGTATTGAAAACGTGCCGATTGATGCACACATTTATATTTATTTAATAATTAAATCAAAGTGCGGTAGTGGCTAATAGACGATTAATGTAACTAAAACAAACACAACTCAACCACCACAATAAATGGACGGTAGCTAACGACAGTATATAGATTAGTGAAAAATCTTCTAGCTTATCTGTAAGAAATATTTATAGAATCTTCAAACTCTTAATGGATACCTCTTTTTCATACAAATTCAAAATATGTAACTCTCTCACGCCTAAGCCGATAAATCGAAGATTGTTTGATCTTAATTTTACGCATTCGTTGGCATAAGCTAATTCCAATAATAAAATGTAGTACAATAAAATAGTGTAACGAAATTATTCAGGGCGTGGCGTGAGATAGTTTAAATTGATTTGGAACTGCGTGTAATTATATCAATTATAACTGTTTATTTTTTGGACTAAAGGTTAATCGATGTTTACTATTTATATTAAAATGCGTTTTCATGGACAAGTCTGACAAGTTGATTAAAAAAACTTATAATTTATGTAATTTTAAATAGATACTTTCTTTTGTTAATGCACATTTGATTTTATTATAATAAAAAGGTACATATCCAGTGCTAGATATATTCATTAGTAGGCTGATCAATTAAAAAAAAAAGCGTTGTTACGCGCCTATCTGGTACCTAATCCGCATTGTAAAGCAAACAATTACTAGTAAAAACTACAATTGGAAGTGTAAAATTTTTATTATAAATTTTTGTAAAATTTATCCTTACCATAATTTTCATGTAGGTATTTAAAAATAGATAGATTGTCACTTATACTATAGAAAATGCATTGATATGTGATATGCTGTCAATTAAAAAATATACATAAAAAGATTACTAAAATCATGACTTTTTACCATAATACTTACTTGAAATTAAGAACAACCGAGAAAGATTTTTGGTCTAATTATATCCTACAGACGTCATCGTAGGATAAAAATAAAATTAAACTCTCACCGTCATCGCTAGTATCCGGTTCCTCAATAGTCCGCGATCCAGGTGGCAAGTTGACCCTTAATCCCTTCATCTTAAAGAACTCTCTTATCAAACTCATAAAGTACTTGGCGATTTCTGTCCACTCCGAAATAATACTTCTTCTTCCGTCAAGAAAGTCCACTTCTTCTGTCATATTCAAGTTACTTACATCAGTCAAAGGCACAAAGCTTATAACCTCATTGGCCACTATTGTCTCATTATTGTTCATATCCCCGAATAGAGTTTTCTTTGCTATTTTCAAAGCTTTATATTTGACACAAGATAAAGCCTCGCCTTGTGTAAGGCAGCTGTCTTTGACGCGCCGTAAATATTGATCTTCAGCACATGACGCCTGGGTGATAAATAAAATTGAGAGAAGATGCCAGACTGCCATTTTGCTGAAAGAAATTACTATATTTAAATATTTATTGTATTATTTAGTTATAATTACTTAAATCTGGTCACGTAAAGCCCCACGCAAGGTTTTTTTTCACCTTATCAGCAAGTGTTCACGTATTCATTGCGCACGTAGAAAAAAGAATCCCAAAATCCGTACGGACTCAAGGTTGATTTTCGCGTACCTAATTACTAGGCTAACACTGCTCCCATAACTTATACGTTTAATAAAAATGTTTGATAAGAAAAATCATTTGTATTAATTATTTTGAACTGAACAAAATTCATAGAATCCAGCGGTCGACCAATTTACAAACTTTAAGGTAACGGGGGCAAAACAAAGCTTTGCAGGGAAATGATTACATTTTAATCTTGTTTCTTTAGAGAAACGGATGAAATTTGACGGCTTATTTTATTTAAAACTGTGTATTTAGCCCGACCTTAATGATATAATCTAACCAATGTGGTGACTTCATTAATAATTAACAGCTACAGAAAAGATTTACATTTGTTTTTGATAAAGTGATAATAATGTTTAAAAAAAAACCAACATATTTTTTTATTATTATTATAGTTCTAAGGGCCGCAAACTTACTAAACACCGAATAAACAAACAAAACAAAAGTTATAATTTTTAATAACTCCGGCAACATACGTAGTCTGATGATGAATGTTGGACGTGTTTGGTTCAGGCTTTTTATTAACACAGTTTATTATGTTACAAGATAATATATTTTAAGTCCCGAAATCGGTTATATAATATTTATTTTCAAATTTACTGCCCACCGTTGACATTAAAAGTGCAGTGCACGCAACGGTTAGTAATATTATTTTATATAAAATGTAAAAAAAATATTGTTTTCTTCCTGTTGAGGGTATTTTGCAGAGATTCGGAGAATTTATTTATAGTATAGTATTAAACCTGTGCCCAAGAAAAAAAAACGCAAAAGAGGAAGTCAGTTTAGTAGGTGGATAAAACAGATTAAGGAACGGCAGATTCTACATGGCAGAAAGTAACATTGGGCAAATGGCTGAATTCAGAAGAGGCCTTTGCCAAAAAAGGGCAAACAGATATCTAGGAATTAATGAGATTATACAAATATAAATGTATTTAATTGTAAAGTATCTGAAATAAAAGACTTTTATAAACATGAATTAATTAATAGTAAGCAAAGTTGTTATGCAGCTTTGCTTTTTTTAAATCTTTGCTATTTATTGCCAGCGAAACTATTAAATGCTCGGAGATTGAGTTTTAATTATTTTAATTAAAGTTGTAAAAGCCGGTTAGTGATAAAGTTTCAGGCTTCAAGTGCAGTTTCTTTTTATGAGTCTTCTATTGAGTCCTTATTAGAAATTACTTCTACGGCTTCGTTTGTTTGCGAAAGAAAAATACACAAAACTTTTTATATTTATGTTTTCAATTCCAAATAATCATTGTAATTTAAATTCATTAACAACTACGCAGGAGATCTTAATTTGAGGTCTGAGATTGTTAATTTTTTTACGTTTGAATGTGTCCAGAAATCTTAAAAAGAGGAGGTCATCTGTATGGGGCACAAACGGTAGCAATATTTTTATTTTAAACTATCATTAGACGTAATATTGGACTCTGAGTACGACTCCCTTAGTTTTACGCTTACAAAATCGGTAGTGGTTTATTTTTATTTCTATATGACATTTTCAATAGACTTTATAGCTTTATGGCTTTTTATAAAGCCAATAAAATTAACGACTTTATCTCCGTCAAACGTCAATTTTGTTACTGTAATGGGATTTGCACTTAGCAAAATATTTTTTATGATATTTTTTAAATCCCTAGTGAGGAGTTAGTATTTTATCAGATTTATCAAGAACCTTCTTAGGAATAACTTGGTAATTTGTGACTCGTTTAACATAACACAAATTAATTATTGACTACAAAGCGCTTGACAGGTGTTAAATTATTTTACTTAATCTAATACAAGTTTATTTAAAAATTATTTTATATAGGTTAAAAATAAAAATCTGGAACATTGTCCAATATTTAGTTAATTAAAATTGACAGTACACATTCAACCTAAACATGATAATTAAAATTGTATTTGTAGGAATCGTTTTAAATTTTGTTTATCACACATTAATCACGTTTAAATAAAAGCCTTTATTCACTTACTTTAACTAAAACTTCACTTTTCACTTTTGTTATATTTTACTAAATCTGCGCGCGCGTCGATCAACCATTGATCAATGTCAATAGTAGCAACTGTTTCGCTATTTAAATGATCTAGGACCGATCGAGTGAAGCGGAGTTAATGTGATCTGTTTGAAAACGACAGTGACTATACTCGCCAGGCGGATTTGCTTAAAACATTAATATTACTTTTTTTTAGTACTAAATAAGAATTTATTATTGATTAAGTTTTTAGCTTTTATAAAGCTCTATTTACCGTAGTGTTTACTTTACCGTCATATCGGCGGCCATAAGTATTAAAGTTTTAAGAAATTAAATCATTTAAATTCCCACTTTATTGGTTTTCACATTTTGGCGAAATCAGAAAGAGTGGTAGTACAATAAAATTGCTTCCAACTGCTGCTAATATCTCCTTCATCGAACAAGGCTTTTCGAAATAAGCGAGAAAGAGAAAGAAGAAAAACAAAAGACGTAAGACAAAACTTTGCGTTCGATTATGATTGCTCTAATGGACGTCATCGAATGTCAACGCGTCATAGAGACTAGACTAGACTTCGAGGATTTAGGCTGGACGGAGTAGCCTCATTATGTGATGATGATAATGGATGAGGAATATAAAGTATTCATATATAAACATTTCATCATCATCTTTGAGAAATATTAGAAAATAAATATTTTTGTTGATAAGCGATTTTATCGAGTTGAATTTAATCTTATTATAATGGTCATGTGGACAAAAGATAGTGGACAGTTCCTTCAACCTTAAAGGTACTCCTTACAAAGGATCTATTCAATTCGGAATTCGTTTTCGTTAATTCCTATATACTGTTTTTTTTTTCTTTATAGTCTTAGACAGGACAACCTACTCTTTAGAACCCATATTTAAAGTTAAAAAAAAACATGCGTGTGTATCAATGTACAAGCATTAGAAGTTTGGCGTAACAAGATAAAAATCTTTTTAAAATATTTATGTTTCGCCTTATTCTACGTTTGTAGAAAAACCGACACTAACAATAGAAAAAAGGTATTTAAAATTTTGAAAGTTTTATTATCTAGTTAAATGAAGTTTACTTAAATATCACAAACAAACAAAAATTCTACATAATTAAAGAAATTTACATTTTTTATATTAAAATGTTGACTATAGTAACTTCAGGGTGTCCGTTTTTTTGTGACGGTGTGCGAACGCATCGTAAAATTTACTCTCATCATTTTTCCCTAACGCGCCAAAAGAAGTATAACTTCAAAAATATTTCTGATTTGAAAATTTTCGTGTATTAACAAATTTAAACACGGATAATTAGCTGCAGTGTTTTGTTATTACTTTTAAATAAATGGGAAACTATTTTTCATATTTAAAACACAATATATTTTTCATAATTAAAATTTTTATTATAAAGCGATCATAATTTCATATCATGTCTTCCAAGTTTACGAGCGGACGGATAAATTCTAAACTTTGTTATAGTTAGCCGATGTAATTTAATAAGACCACATTTTCTTTCCTACTATAATCTCGTCTTACACTTGCATTTTCTATAGATTTTCATTTTTAAGGTCATTGACGTGAGTTAAATTTTATGTTGTATATATATTCTATTCTATATAATATTATAAAGAGGAAAGATTTGATTTTTTGTTTGTTTGAAATAAATATGGCTCCGGAACTACTGGACCGATTTCAAAAATTCTTTCTCCATCGGCAAGCCTACACTGTTCCTGAGTGACATAGGCTTTGTTTCATTTTCAAAAAAATTAGGGATGCTTACTAAAACTTGAATAATCTAACCCAAGGTGTAAAAAAATAAACAAAAAACTTCCTTCAATCGCGTGCGCTGCGAAAACCATTAATGATAGAACAAAATGATGTACTACAATTTTTCGGGACACATCACTATCTATAAAAAATGTCGCGACAGCATGCCTCTATCTTTTATAGTTACGTCACAACAAGCGTCCTTTTATTATTATTTTTTATTAAAATACCACCGCTAGAAAAGGCTCTTTATTCGTACCTAGGTATTGATCCTTATCAAAATAAATACCAACGTTTCACATAATCTACTATTTAATGGCATAACCACCAAAAAAGCATGGTGGATTGGTGTTCTCCTGCCGTTTCTCTTGAATAGTTTACTACTACGTAATATAACAAAAATCTTAGCCACAGCAACGCTTGGCCCAGTCTACTAGTATATCGTACTAGAATGAGTTAATTTCACATATAGAAAAGAAACAGTGTAGCGAGTTAAGTTTTGTGGCGGTTTTTGTATGGAGATGTTTAAATAAAACTCTTTGTTTGAAGCTATAGTCTAACTAGCGTCACTGGTTTTCCTTCTACCTCTGGGCCTCATATTTCTATATCCGTTTCGTGATTTATTTTTCTTAATAGACGAGTAGGTTTTCAGCGCGTGACACATGCCTTCGACGTTTTTGGGTCTAAAGCATGCCGGTATCCTCACAATGTTTTTCCTCACCGTACCAGCGCGTGTTGATGCGAGTACATTGATTGCCGGGGTTCGAACTAACGACCTCAGGGATGAGAGTTGCATGCTGAAACTTCTAGGCCAACACTTCTCTAATTTCGTATATAAAGTCAATCCTAAACCGGAAATCACAGTCTTAGAGTTGAGAATTACTCGTTTAACCACTGAATTCAGAAATACATTTTATTTGATTATAACTTTCTTTTAAATTATTGCTTTCAATTGTGGTCAAGTACGAAAAGTAAGGGCCGGAAATTGTTTTCGTCGAATTGAAAAATTAGGTACACGATTGACCTTGCTTCCAGTACAATATTCGTGGTTTATCATAATCGCACCTTTTCT